TCTAGACTTTGTTTACACATGTTCGTGGTACTTCGACTCTTCCCGTGTGCCGAGACTTCGTTTACACATGTTCGTGGTACTTCGACTCTTCCCGTGTGCCGAGACTTCGTTTACACATGTTCGTGGTACTTCGACTCTTCCCGTGTGCCGAGACTTCGTTTACACATGTTCGTGGTGCTTGGACTCTTCCCGTGTGCCGAAACTGTAAACATACCAAGGCGGAAACTTCTCTACATGGGCTGTTCGAGAGGGCGTCTAGCTTCTGTGATGATAGTTTAACGAGGCAGGGAAATTACTGACACTCAGTGTGGTAAGAAACTGTGAACGTTCCGTGTCGGGTTAGAGTTCGTTTCTTGGATTTTCCCATTCATATTTCTTAATTTCGCATATTCCACTTTGTTCTTTGTTGTTTTACGTGCGCCAGTGGGGGTGCGTGCCCGATCGCGTGTGAGTGTTGGTGTGTATGTGTGTGTATGTGTGTGAGTGGGGGACTGAGTGTTTTATCAGTGTTTGTGTGTGTGTGCGAGTGTCTAGGGGTTGGAGGGGGAGGGAAAAAGGGGGAGGGGCGGGGTGGTAGGGCTAGAAAGAAATAGAAATTGAGTTTAATTTGGTACTTGATGCTTTCTCCATGATTATTATTATTATTGCTATTATTATTTCTTCTTCTTCTTCTTCTTCTTCTTCTTCTTCATCTTCTTCTTTTTTTTTTTTTCTTTTTCTGCTTCTTCTTCTTTTTTTCTCCTTCTTTTTCTTTTTGTTTCTTTCTTTTTCTTCTTCTTTTTCTTTTTCTTCTTCTTCTTCTTCTTCTTCTTCTTCTTCTTCTTCTTCTTCTTCTTCTTCTTCTTCTTCTTCTTCTTCTTCTTCTTCTTCTTCTTCTTCTTTTCTTTCTTCTCTTTCTTCTTCTTCTTCTTTCTTCTTCTTCTTCTTCTTCTTCTTCTTCTTCTTCTTCTTCTTTCTTCTTCTTCTTCTTCTTCTTCTTCTTCTTCTTCTTCTTCTTCTTCTTCTTCTTCTTCTTCTTCTTCTTCTTCTTCTTCTTCTTCTTCTTCTTCTTCTTCCGTCTTCTTTCGTCTTCATCATAATTATTATTATGATTACTATTTTTAATACCTTTACTACTGCTACTACTACTCACTACTTACATTACTTTCACACTACTTACACTCTACACTACACTCTTTACTACTCAACCGTTTCACACTACTTACTACAACTTACACTACACACTCTACACTACTTACACACTACTCACACACTTACACTACTACACTACTACACACTACTACACACTACTACACACTACACTACTACACACTACTACACTACTCACACTACTACACTACTACACATACTACACACTACTACACTACTACACACTACTTACACTACTTACACTACTTACACTACTTACACTACTACTACTACACTACTACACACTACTACTTACACTACTTACACTACTCACACTACTTACACTACTTACACTACTTACACTACTTACACTACTCACACTACTCACACTACTCACACTACTCACACTACTTACAATACTCACACTACTCACACTATTTATGCTACTCACATTACTTACACTACTCACACTACTTACATTAACATATAACCAGTCTACGACCTGCACCATTATTACTGGAACTCTGCGCTGGCCGCTGAAGATGTGGACGGAGCGCCTATAGAAATTCCCCGAGTGCTGTGATGGCTAAGTCATAATCTTTTCTTTACCTTTGATTTTCTGGAGTTTAGCTCAACTCAACTCGACTCTTATCTCTTTTGTACTCACGGGAGTACATTGTAGTTTGTAATTGCCCCCCCCCAGCCCCCCACAACAGTACCCATTTGACCTTAGACTTCTAGGTTATAATCTTCTCATATTTTCTCAGCTGTGTGTCCTATCTAACGTCATAATCTTTTCTTTACCTCTTGATTTACTGGAGTTTAGTTCCCTCTTAAAGCTCTATCATGCCATTTATTCCTCTCTATTCTACTCAGGTAATGAATAATTGTAGTTTCTCTATAATTGCTAGTTGTTTCAGCTCCACATAACAGTTCTGATTTGACATTAGACTTAAACAGTTTCGGTTTAATTTTTATTTTTAATTTCCAAATTTCTTTACAAATTTCCTATTGCTATGAAAACTCCTTTCGCGTTTTGTATTTGTATTTTCATGTTTCTGTCAGTTGCCCCATTCGTATCTACATTACTAGCCACACAGATGTATGACTCCACATCTTGCAGTAGGATATCATTAAAAGAAATTACAATACTGTTTGTCAGGTATATTTCCATTATCTTTACGGTCACCGTAACAAAGAAAACTAGACTAAAGCACGAAACGTAACGTGTGTGACCCGGATATCGTGTTGTGACACAGATTATACTGGACTTCATAAACGCTCTCTCTGATCCAGGTAAGCAGTTTAATTCTTGCAAATGTTTAATATCAAGTTGTTTCATCTGCCAAACTGTCAATTACTGCCTTTATATACCACTTCTGCGGTGTAGGCAAAAGAAGGAGGGGGTTGGGGAGGGGCCTTAGAGACCGAGGATCCACGGCCGCATGGCTAGTGCTGTCGCCACGACTGTGCAAGTGAGGTTTTTATTTTGTCCCCGACAGAAAAAACTCCGCGGCTTTACCGAGAATTCGAACCCGGGTCTCCAGTATGAAAACGTAGCTTTTTTGCCAGCCGCTTCTCTGCTGTTGTATTTCCGTGTATTATTTATATCTCATTTATTCACATATATAAAGCCCGGCTCTCTAGCGTAGTTGGCTAAACCGGATTGCGCGGAGACCGGGTGACGAATTCCTTGTGGTCCGGGTTCAATCCCGGGGGTGGGCAATAAAGCCACATTTCTCCCAGATTTACGGTATTTACAATGGAATCAAGGCCGAAAGGTTGCGATATCCATAATATCGCGGTACGTTGGAATTACGAGTCGGATTCGCAACGCCGAAGCCACGGAGACCGCCTAATGAATACATAACATCACCTAATTGAGGTATCTCCGTAAGTAATCTACATGTCCATCTGAACAGTTATAGCTCTGGCACTCGTATAAACACAGGAAATGAATGCTATGCAGAAAAAGCTGACGTAGGCAAGGGCCGTAACTGCATATAGATTTCTCTAAGAAATACTTCAGTTAAGTGATTTTGTGTATAACTAATTGTGACTTTAATATTCCCCGTTCATGTTTTGTGCTGATGAATGAACACTACCGACTGGAAAGAGGGCAGTGTGACAACAGTTCTCCAAACGCCTATAAAAATATCGGCCATTGGGCGATCTTATTAGTGAGACTTATAGATATGTCTAGGTGGTCGATGCTTAATAGCCTATTCTCTAACAAAGACAACTTTGGCGTTTATAAATGATCTGATTACATGATGTAATAGCAAAACAATATCGTGACATCAACCAAAAATTTTTTTTTTACAAACATTTTCAAATACAATAAACTAGAGCACTGACCAAAAGTATGACTACAGCTCATGAATTAGTAATATTTTTCTCAATAACTGTGTTTCTTTCTCAAATGGTAGGTTTCTGCATACATGTTGTTGGGTTTTTCACAAGATGGTGGCTGTTGCATTGGTAACCATGATTTTTTTTTTTTTTTTTTTTTTTTTTTTTTAACTGTAAAGTTGCATTATCACTTATCAATTTAAAAAAAATAAAAAAAAAAGACCGTTTTTAAATAATTCGTCTGATATCCTTTACAGATGTGTTCTTTAACTTCTTTATACTTGCGGACCTGGGGAAAAAAAGAGGAAGAAATGTTTCGGCTAATCGCTCTGATGAATCAAACACAATTGTAAATAGTATTTCGCTGATTAGATTCTATTGAATAAAATTTGTTTTAGTCAATGAGTTTTCTTATCTTCTGCTAGAAAATCATTTGCGCCCGGCCGGGGCGTTGTTTTTTTTAGATCAAGCTCTGCAATACAACCAATCGGATTTCTCCATTTGGTTTTCACCTCAGCCACCTCAAAATTGGATAGAAAGTTTCTGGCGGATCTAAGGAAAATTCTGGGGCCGCCCTTAGTCGGCAGACCACAAGAGGAATGACATGAACTTTTGGGACATCGAGGGCCAGCAACAGCCTTCGTCGGCTGTGTTTGGTTTTAAGTTTCATAGTTTGCCATTGATTTTTTAACGCTTCGACATTCATAACTTTATCGCAGTCAACACAAAGTTGTCTGCTGTCAAACAGTGCGAGGTGTGCATGTTACGACTGTTATGGCCTCTTACAGTTTCCATTGCCCAAAAAAAATTACGTTACTGTTTGGTTGTACTGTTTATTGCACAGAACGCTCGCTGCATGATTACGCCATTCGTGTTGAAACTGCAGCTACCGGTTACAAGTATGACAAAGCTAGATGCATATTCTCAACAGCGAAGCGATGAGGAGGAAAATATCACCTGATACAATCTCTTGTGAAACCGTTACCTGCTAACACTTACATACGTGAATTAATAGCCCCTCGCCACTGCTGCCCAATTTCCCTTCCATAAAAGAATTGCAAAAAACATATAGTTGGTCCTGTCAAAGGTATCTTCTTCAGCAAACAGCAACAAAAAACAAACAACAACAGAAACAATGATGACATGCAAGGTTCCCAGTATCGATACCTTTTTTAGGGATCATGTTATTTCATTGATTCTGTAATCGCTAGTTTATAGTGAGCACCGCCACTTTTCAGACACTTCTGTTGTGAGTATCGGCATATTTTCCGCAGAAAAATAAGCACTGGACGCAACCAATATGATTTGGCGACACCAGAGGCCCAGTTCTGCTTGTAGAAAAATATTAGGGGCAATTAAATGTGTATTAGGTATAACGGAAGGGGGGTTGGATCATTCAGCTATCGTGTCTTCTTTAGTAATTCAGCAGAACCTGTTATTTCTTCTGGCAGAAATATCTACTAGGTCCATACTCCCAGGAAGACCGGTCATCTGGTGTGTCAATACTGTCCTAGGCCAGCATGATTGAAGCAAAAGAATGCTGGATAGTCAACTCGGGAGTGACGGTCGCGAATGGGGCGAGTCCAGTCCAGGAGGCGGCTCCGAAGGCTAAGATGCACATACGAGAGCAGTGGGCCAAGAAGTTGGACTTTCTCCTGGCGTGTATCGGGTTTTCTGTCGGGCTAGGGAATGTTTGGAGATTCCCGTTTCTGTGCTATAGAAATGGCGGAGGTGTGTGATTTTTGTTGTTGATTTTTTTTTAAGGAACTGATTATGTTGTTTGGGTAAAAGTCAATAGAGTATACTTTTCACGCTACTGACGCATGAGGGCAAAACTTTAAATCTATATATATATATCAAAATCACCACCTACGAGATTTAATGGCTCAAAAAAGCCGCCAACGTAACAGTCCAAGAATAGTGAATAATCAGACAGATTGTGGGAACAACACTTTGTACTAGATTCATTGGGAAGCAGATGAAATGGTTTGGCCATCTCATTAGAATGCAACAACAACGAATGATATCACTGGCGCGACATCTCAGAAAATCAGCTACTAGAGTCGAGGACGACCATGAAAAAGTGAATCGACAACATTAAAGACACTTTACGTCTTTACGGCATCACATTGGTCAGTGACAGTGCATTTGATCACAAACTATTTCAACCCGACAATGACGACGACGACGTAAGATGTTAGACCTTTTGTTATAGAACAGTCGATCGACACTCAACCCGTATGTTGTCAACATCGCTTCGATCCCCTTTACTTTCCGTAATATTTTCTTGGAGACATTTTAGGTTCGACCTACTATCTAGCCCAGGCCAATTTCAAAGAAACTCACGTTGAGGCAGGTTCGAACCACTGGGCTGTCGTGGCTGTAGGCTGAGAACTTACTGGAGGATTTTTGTAATATCCAAAAATGTGAGCAAGTATACACAATCTTTGGACAGAAAACGTCATTGGTCCTTCAGTGCAAAAACAAGAATACAATCAAGTCTTTAGAAAATGGACTGTCCTTTGTAAGTTTCGGCGCCCTATTTTGATGGAAAGGGGCGGGGGTGGAGAATAGCCACTGCCCATATTAAGCGTGTCGTAATAGTAAGATGTTAATTATAAAAAAAATAATCTTCTTCGTCCTCTTTACTTTTATATTTTCATCACATTCATCATAATTGTCATCATCATCATCATTATGACTACAATCTCGACGAACCTGTAACTTAGATAAAGTTTTATCGTCTGCCAACAAGGTGCCTTTCTGATCCCGTACTTCCTGGCCGTGGTGCTGGGCGGAATTCCAATGTTTTTCCTGGAGGTGGCCCTGGGTCAGTTTATGGGAGAAGGGGGTATAGGACCTTGGAAGATTGCACCCCTATTTCAAGGTAAGTCCACGAAACCATAAAAGGACTATAGTTTTTCAAATATTACTAAACGTCTTCTTACTGTTTTCAGTCGGGGCAAGCTTTTGCTGCAGACAATATTTAGCTGTTGCATTTTCCTCTATATTTGGACTGAAAGGATATAGTTCTGTCGCCCGGAAACTGGGCTGAGTACCTGGCGGGACACTGTGAGCTCCGGAATTAATTTGACTGTGCCTAACGAGGTTTACCTTGCGAACTCAAGATTCAGAAAACGGCCAGTTACTTGTTGCCAGAGAACCATTGGTTCGTTATGCAAGCAATTGCATGTGCAGCTACTGATTTGTTGTCACTGCTGCTTTCATCGACGATGAACTGCATTTCTAGTATCGGATCGTTTGTGCTAGCACTTCTGACAGCTGCTTATGCATATACTGCGTGTGTGTGCTACTGACTTTGCTGAGACTGCAAGCTTCTGTCGATTGTTTTCCGCAAGAGACAATGATGGTATTTCTATGTAGTTTCCTTGGCACAGGAACTATGGGATGACCCGTTTGCTGCGAAGCTAGAACTGCGATTATCTTATTAGCTGATTATTTCTTCAAAAGATTCTATACCAATTTATTAACAGGTGCAATCATCTGATTTTGTACTAGTTTTAAGAATGCGATCTTGGCATCTTTCATAAGTTTTTATTAAGTTCGCTTTTGTTTGCCTAATTATTTATTTGTTTGTTTGTCTGGGTGAAACTTTGCGTTTGGTTTTTGCATCATTTCCCGATAAGCAGTCGAGCTTATGTACTGATTGCTGACTTCTAAGATGTGACATCATAGCACACCAGGCATACCGATAGATGCTCCGTCTCCCGCAGCAAAAGTCTTAAGGTGTCCATGCTAACTGTTCCCGTAGCACACTGATTAAACACACGTTGTTTTCCTAATCATATTCACTCCATTCCAGATCCACACCTAATTCTTCCTTCACACATTCTTACACGTATTATTTCATTTAACATGGCCACTCATCATTCATTAAAAAAAATGGTCTTCAGAATGTCTCCTTTACCCTGTACGAGTTTTCCAGTAACTATCGCACTTGTAGCCGAAAAAAATCGTCACTTTCGTTCACTCACGTTTCTACATATCTTGGACAGTATATTAACATTAGTCCTTGAAAGGTTGATGTTCTGATGCTTGTTATCCACTCATGCCACATTTGTTTCATTTTGAACCTTCAGTAATACCGATTGAGAATCAGACACTATAATTCTTCTGATAACACTTTATCTGCTATCTACTTCAAAGCTGCAATGAGTGCCTCCACCGCCATCTTGATGACGTGGTAGATTAGGACACACTATTTTGTTCTGCACGATCTTTCCATTCCCTCTAGCTGACAACCCCAGCCATATCTTTCCATTCTCTCTAGCTGACAACCCCCAACGATTTCTTTCCCTTTTCTCTAGCTAAGAACCCCTAACCATTTCTTTCCCTTCTCTCTAGCTGACTACCCCCAACCATATCTTTCCCTTCTCTCTAGCTGACAACCCCCAACGATTTCTTTCCCTTTTCTCTAGCTAAGAACCCCTAACCATTTCTTTCCCTTCTCTCTAGCTGACTACCCCCAACCATATTCTCTCTTCCCTTTAGCTGACAACCCCTAACCATTTCTCTCCCTTCTCTCTAGCTGACAACCCCCAACGATTTCTTTCCCTTCTCTCTAGCTAACAACCCCTAACCATTTCTTTCCCTTCTCTCTAGCTGACTACCCCCAACCATATCCTCTCTTCCCTTTAGCTGACAACCCCTGACCATTTCTCTAACTGCGACTAAAAAAACAGTCAGTGCACACAACGAGTATCATATAACCCAGCGTTTGCATCTGTCAGTTGTGATGATACAGTCACTAGACATTTGTCTGCTGAACGAGAGGTCTTGGGGTCGATTTCGCATCGGGGCCAATTGTTAACTGACAAAAATGGGCACTGTGACTTGTCTCGGGCAGGAAAAGTGGATGACGGGATGTTAAACATATTCCCCAAAGGTGTCAACTGATCTAAAAAAAAAATATATGAGTTTGGCACCATATGTCCGATGCCAGAGGTTTTGGAACCTGAGGACAGGGATCTTGAGTTCGCCCCCCCCCCCTCTCTTCCCACCACCCTGCTCCTTTTCCCAAAAACAAATCCGAATTAGGTGAACTAAAGTACTCACCTTCTCCACCTTCCATGTACTGAAGATCTCTTTATAAGAGTTTCATTAAATACATCATATTATTTCAAATGCACTGATATATTTATCTCTGTGGCTAAGCCGATGCGAACGTTTCGTAATGCCGGGATGCCGGGTTCGATCCCAGCTGCGGGCCATGCGCCTTGCGTTGGTTTCGACAGTGGTATCAAGAAAGCCGACCGTCCAGGTAGCAATGACAAACTACTATACGTAAATTTGCCTAGAAAAACCACATAACAGCCAGGGGCTGTTGGGATTGGTTCTGCAACGTCCTGTTAAGGATATGCAACTAACCTTGATATATTTATCTGCTTTAAAACAATATTATTAAAAAGCTCTAAAACAAGGCTCGTCTATTAAGCTCCCACTCCTCAAATGTAAAAGGCAGTTAGTTTTTTCTTTGGGTCGTCGTTTTGCTTGTAAGCAACAGGGATGTGAAAAAAGTCCTCTGTTGATTGTTGACTATTGTGACACAGGTATTGGATACGCCACGGCAGTGATCGTCTTCCTCCTCAACTGTGAGTACAACATCATCTTGGCCTGGGCTTTCTACTATATCTTCGCCTCATTCACCTCGGTCCTGCCCTGGTCCCACTGCCACAACGAATGGAACACCGAAAACTGCACCACGTTTGACAAACAGCTGGGCGTTCAGAACCTGACCACGTTCAACAACACTAGCCTCATGATGGACAGTCAAGTCGCCGTTGCCAAACGGACAGTGACCAATATCTCAGACACGACGACATTGTCCAGCCTGGGGTCTACTTCTGTTGGTCAGGTGTTCAACAGAACTTTGTTGTACACGGGGATGAGTGGCAGCGGAAATCGCACAATATTTCCGGATCCAGTCACGGAATTCTGGGAGTAAGTATTTAAGACAATATGGTGTCAAGTTATTGAATCGATCATCTGTTGTAATCCAGGAGCCAACTGATCGTTGGTTTTTACCTACAAGCCACTGGATCACCAGGTCTAATAAATCTAGGTTTGGGTTTAATAAACCTCTAGGTTTATTGCTGCAGATATACCCCCCCCCCCCCCCCCTTTTACCCCAATTTCTTCCCCAATCGACACTTTTCAGTATAGCTGATGACTAAGTAGTCTACCTCCTTGTCTATGGCCACGAAACTCCCGTGTGTACAAATTTGTGCCTTTTTGCCATATACCATTCTTTCTATAGGACCCAGCCATTTTTCAGTCCATTTACCCACAAGATGCCTGTGATCAGTGACGATTGAAACTGATTAATTAATTGTATTGTTACTTCTCACTCTTCATTACCTGATGTTTGCATGTTTAGTCAGTCCAAAGATTCGTCTTAAGACAGTTTAGCAAGAAAAGTTTATAATAAGGCTTTATCTACTTCATTTTAAACTTGTTATTCTATATTGTACTTTGCCTGTTACTATTTGTATATAGTTCTCAACAGTGTTTAGTTTAGGGAAGCGGGCACCGACGTATCTAATTAAAGTTATATGAAACATTCTGACTCCTTGACTACCTGTCTTCCTAACATGGTAGTGATGCCAATGCTGCATAACGTTCCGTCTTCGCGATAAATTCCTCCCTTTCCCTTGTGTGACACAATTTTTCGTTATTTTGAAGCCCACACCCCTGGCTTTTGCCAGAGGCCGCAAAATAGCCTAAAGGCTGAACACGGTTTCTGGGATCTCTCCACGGGTGATCCTCATCCGCACAGTGACACTTTGTGTCACCGGGTGTTTATCGCTCTGTGTGATGTCCTGGTGGGGTAAACTGTACTTACTGACTGGTCTTCTCCACATCTCAGTTGACTGACTGACTTTCTACCCCACCAGGACATCACACAAGCGATAAACACCCGATGACACAATGTGCCACCATGTGGATGAGGATCACCGTGGAGAGGTCCCAGAAATCGCGTTCAACCTTTAGCCATATTTATGACCAGGCTATATTGCGGCCCCTGGCAAGAGCCAGAGTAGGGCTTCAAAAAACGAAAAATTCCTATCCTAAAAAGGAAGGGAAGTAATAACTTCTCAGTTGACTGACTGACTTTCTACCCCCACAAGGACATCACACAAGCGATAAACACCCGATGACACAAGGTGCCACCATGTGGATGAGGATCACCGTGGAGAGGTCCCAGAAACCGCGTTCAGACAATTGGTCATATTTATGGCCTGCCTATATTGCGGCCCCTGGCAAAAGCCAGGGTGGGGCTTCAAATAACAACAAATTTCATCCGTAAGCTTTTATACTAGATAAAAACTTCTCAGTTATGCCCATATACCTCCCCTGTCGATAGACACCTGCTAATATTATGGGAAGTAAATGTCGCATGTGTAGAATCGACGACATCATAGCCACCAGAAGCGTGTTGATGTTTCATTGCTGTCACTGGTATCGTGTCTCAAGTCAGCATCAAGGTGACGTCATGTGTTTTAACATTTCTAATTGTTAATTCTATCATACTTGTTCATGTAATATTAAAAAAGGCCATGAGTTTATTTCCTTGTCTCCCGTGGCTTTTTCTCGAGTATTACATTTCGGTGGTTACACATGTGTCTTACATTCTACTGGACAGACTCAATGTTATTTCTATCTGAGATACGTCAGTATTAAATATAATTGTGTATATTGGATTTTTTATTATTCGTACTTGTTATGTTGCATTTTTACGTAATGTGCTGTTGAAGGTTGTCTAGGCGCAACGTTCACTTGTGGTTTGCGTTCGTGATATTGTGAAGCTGACCGGTAGTATCTTTTGTTTGTTTTGATATAATTTTGATGTCATTAGGCTAACCGATAACAGTATATGTAGATGTCTGATACCCGCAGGCGAAAGGTTCTAGGCTTATCTTCAGGTGTGGGCGAGCCTGGGACCATCAAGTGGGACCTGGCCTTGTGTCTGCTGCTAGCCTGGGTCATCGTCTACTTCTGTATATGTAAGGGAATCAAGTCATCGGGCAAGGTGAGTCACATTCGCTATTTCACCATGGTCCCTGCCCCCAGATTAACTCAACTCCCCTTTTTTTATGTTACTGATAAAAACGACAGAAATCTACTTTATTGCACTGGGTTTTTATCTCATAACGCTCCATCCCTCTCTCTGCAGAGAACGGTTAGCCGCCTTTCGAGAGCAGCACAAAAGCACGAATTCTATAGCTCCGGCTACGATGGCCTAAGACCACTGAAAAAAAAAAACCGTACCCGTCGACTGAACGATGCAGACATGAAATGAACCCACGACCTTCAGAACGCCTGGCAAACAGCTTGTCCTCTTTGTCACGGAGTCCCCAGGGTGGTTGTACTACTTCTCGGGTTGATAGAGCATTGAGGAATAAATAAACTGCTAGAACATTGTGGGGGGTAGGAGCTGCTAGAACATTGTGGGAGGTAGGCCCTGCTTGAACATTGGGGAAATAGGAGCTACTAGAACATTGTGTTAGGTAGGGGCTGCTTGAACATTGGGGAAATATAAGCTACTAGTACATTGTGGGAGGTAGGAGCTACTAGAACATTGTGTTAGGTAGGGGCTGCTTGAACATTGGGGAAATAGAAGCTACTAGTACATTGTGGGAGGTAGGAGCTGCTAGAACATTGTGTTAGGTAGGGGCTGCTTGAACATTGGAGAAATAGAAGCTACTAGTACATTGTGGGAGGTAGGAGCTGCTAGAACATTGTGGGAGGTAGGAGCTGCTAGAACATTGTGGGAGGTAGGAGCTGCTAGAACATTGGGGAGATAGAAGCTGCTAGAACATTGTGGGAGGTAGGAGCTGCTAAAGCATTGGGGAGATAGGAGCTACTAGAACATTGTGGGAGGTAGGAGCTGCTAGAACATTGGGGAGATAGGAGCTACTAGAACATTGTGTTAGGTAGGAGCTGCTAGAACATTGGGGAGATAGGAGCTACTAGAACATTGTGTTAGGTAGGAGCTGCTAGAACATTGGGGAGATAGGAGCTACTAGAACATTGTGTTAGGTGGGCCCTGCTTGAACATTGTGGGAGGTAGGAGCTACTAGAACATTGTGGGAGGTAGGAGCTGCTAGAACATTGGGGAGATAGGATCTGCTAGAACGCTTTTATCTTACCTAAACCATCTATTACTTTAGAATTCATATCTGATTTACAAAAAGAGGTGAGACGGGGGAAAGGTGCAGTTTAATATGATTTTCTTGGGATGTCCGGTGTTTAGCTCTAAATAAAGGTGGGATGTCCGGTGTTTAGCTCTAAATAAAGGTGGGATGTCCGGTGTTTAGCTCTAAATAAAGATGGGGTGTCCCCTTTCCAGGACAGAACTGTCTGGTCATCTGAGCCATATTGCGCAGTTATATTGTAGTCCTGTGTGAGTGGGTCTTCTGCCATTTTGTAGTTTGAACCTTCACGCCTTTAAAGTCTACACTGTTCTGGTAGTTGTAACCTTCGACCTACTAACGGCAACAGGTCATGTACGTCACTGCTACTAGTCCATACATCTTTATGGTGATTCTGCTGGTCAGAGGCATCACCCTCGAGGGGTCTGACAAGGGCATCGACTACTACCTCAACCCAGACTGGGAGCGACTGAAAGATGCACAGGCAAGTCTTAGAGTTATTCTTTATTTATTTTGTGAATCAAGTAATCGCAATTCCAAAATCCAGTTTTTAAAAAAAAAACAGGACACCCTAAACCTGCTCCCTTCCTGTTCTTTGAAAACCACAAAGAATATCAGTCCCAGTGCCTTGTTTACAACAACAACAACAACTGACACAGTCTGCAGTCCCGAATGAATAAGGCAGCCATCAGATGTACCAACTCAAACAGTCTGACACTATAAATGCAGCTCATGATCGATGGAGGGAGTCGCCGTGGTTTAACGGCTCGATGCTCTCCTGAGGATCGAGAGGTCGTGAGTTCGCTTCCAGATCTACCCGGCCTTGAGTGAGTACCAGGTGCAGTCCTGTGAAGTAAAGGCGGTCGGGTGAAGCTGACCTCGTCATCCACCAAGTGCAGATTAGTCTATTAAAAATAGGTCTGGCCCTATATGCCCAATACACCAGAGGGTGTGGAAAAGTGTACTTTCTAATGATTGATCGTAGTAGCAGTTATAACAGATCAGTAGTTGCACAAGCAAATAATCACACAAGGCACTAACCAGCTCTTTGGAAACAAGCCACCCGCCATGGATCAGCAGTTGACAATACAAAATGGCACAACTGAACAAGTATTTTTGTTTTCCCTTTTAAATAAACCAGCCAACATGCTATGTCTGGATGGTTCTCTCCATTCGTGAACTTGCTTGCATACGTTGTCTGCAAGCACATATTGTCTACACGCTTTGACATATCTACGGACGTTATATGTCTACACATATAACTTGTCTACGTTGACAGTGAGTTGACGAACAAACAGAGCTTACTGGTAGAATTGACTGTCGGACAGCACTGAGAAGAAGAGGATTGATAATCTATCTACAGATATTGATATGTCTACATTCATAAATATGTGCTGCACACATCAATATGTCTACATTCATAAATATGTGTTGCACACATCAATATGTCTACATTCATAAATATGTGCTGCACACATCAACATGTCTACATTCATTAATATGCCTACGCACATTAACATGTCTACGTTCATTATTATGTCTACACACTGGGAGGTGTCTATATTCATCGGATGTCTATATGCATTAACATGTCTTCGTTCATAAATACTTCTACACAATTGGCCTGTCTACGTTCACCAGTGTGTCTTCACATATTGACCTGTCTACATTTATTAATATACTTACACACATTATCCTGTCTACGTTTAGGAATCTGTGCACACACGTTGACCTGTGTGCGTTCATTAATCTGTCTAGAGCATAAACATGTCTACATGCATTACTGTGACTACAAAACTAATATTCCTACATGTGTGAGATGTGTGTGTGTCTCACCTGACAGGTGTGGGTGGATGCCGGCACCCAGATCTTCTTCTCCTACTCCATCTCCCTGGGCACCCTGGTGGCGCTTGGCAGCTACAACAAGTTCCACCACAACTGCTTCCGGTAGGTTTCAATAAAAATAGAAACACATTATATGTTTTAGCAGCGACAGCTAGAACAAATTCCAGTACAACTATAACCATTGCTGCATTCCTTGAAAATGGATGATATATATTGATCTAAGCAGTGTTTAAGAATCATCATGGTACAACGATAATGCAGATGACAAAGTGGGAATAAAAAGATAAAGTCGGGAGATTTGAACCATCGTAATTGCACACGGTTATAAACCATAAGTGCTCTGCCACCAGTATAGACAGCTGATAGGAACTGTCCGCCTAAGTCGCCGTTCGCACGTACGTCTGTAGCTACAGCGATGTTCCTCCATTTACCTCAGAGTGTCAACTATGGTACCCATTCCCTAGAGGCTGGGTGAACCCCGGGAGCCGCCCGGTTTCGAACACCGACCGTGGGCTGCCGCGAGTCACAGCTGGATTTGAAAGCGAGCTTTTTATCGACTGCGCTAACGCGGCCTTCAAAGTGTGAATGATATAATAATGATGTTGACATAATAATGGTGATGATTTTAAAATGATGATAGTATGATGGTAATGAGAATTATGAGATGGTGATTTGGTGAAAAGGATTATGATTGTCAAGATAATATGATCCTTGTTATCTTTATGGTATTGATGGCATTGATGACGTTGCGATAACGACGGTTTTGACGATGATTATTGATGATTTTGTTGATGATATTCTGGTAGCAATAGTATAAAGCTATATGACGATAATGGTGATAATATGACAGTGAAAGTAAATATTCAATGACGGTAATGATAATATGATGACTATTTAATAAAGATAATATAGGTGGTCATGATTTAATAATAATGACGATTTTTATCAGATGGGACATGTCAACAGTATGCGCAGTTTCCTTTCTGGTTACCTCTTACGACATGTTTAATATGTTTCAGTGTTGCTCTTCTCATCCTAAAGGCTGTAGTGTATTTAACACTCCTGGTGAGTCAGCATATTACTGCCCCATTCATGTAGCAGAGAAAATCACACAAACCGTCCTTCCCTGTCCCATTTGAAAACTTGAATGCCAACACCAACTGTCCCACGCCAAAACTGAAACTCATTTTTGATGCGAAAATTCAGTCACGAGAGTCAGTGTTGCACCCACAGATGTACATGCCATTGTCAATTCATCGTCATCATCAGGTGCCTTGCCGACCACAATCTGCGATCTCCTGCAACATGTATCAGTTCGTGTGCCGACACACCTCCATGCCATGCAACAAGACTGTCAAGAATCTTCTCTCGTTGTCTTCCTCTATCCCTCCTTCCACATATCTTTCCATTGGTCACAACATGTTCTATTTTCCCTCATAACATGGCCGAAAAATGATGACTGTCTCCTTCTGATGTCTGTGATAAGTTGTCTTCGGTCTCCCACCTTTTCAAAACCTTTCGGTTACTCTTTTTGGCTGTCCAAGAAATTGTCTGGTCTGCCTACCGATTGTCCAGGATTCACAGCCATATGTTAAAACTGGATGTATGTAGCAAGCAAGAATTTTTTTTATAACTCTCAATGACAAAGATATATTGCACACGATGTATCCTACATATTCTGAAGAGAAAGATGTGATCTTGATCTAACCCACATATATACTGGAGTAGGATGTGATCTTGATCTAACCCACATATATTCTGAAGAGTAGGATGTGATCTTGATCTAACCCACATATATTCTGAAGAGTAGGATGTGATCTTGAACTAACCCACATATATTCTGAAGAGTAGGATGTGATCTTGAACTAACCCACATATATTCTGAAGAGTAGGATGTGATCTTGATCTAACCCACATATATTCTGAAGAGTAGGATGTGATCTTGAACTAACCCACATATATTCTCACGAGCAATATGTGATCTTGATCTAACCCACATATATTCTGAAGAGTAGGATGTGATCTTGAACTAACCCACATATATTCTGAAGAGTAGGATGTGATCTTGATCTAACCCACATATATTCTGAAGAGTAGGATGTGATCTTGAACTAACCCACATATATTCTCACGAGCAATATGTGATCTTGATCTAACCCACATATATTCTGAAGAGTAAGATGTGATCTTGAACTAACCCACATATATTCTGAAGAGTAGGATGTGATCTTGAACTAACCCACATATATTCTGAAGAGTAGGATGTGATCTTGAACTAACCCACATATATTCTCACGAGCAATATGTGATCTTGATCTAACCCACATATATTCTGAAGAGTAAGATGTGATCTTGATCTAACCCACATATATTCTGAAGAGTAGGATGTGATCTTGAACTAACCCACATATATTCTCACGAGCAATATGTGATCTTGATCTAACCCACATATATTCTCACGAGCAATATGTGATCTTGACCTAACCCACATATATACTGAAGAGAAAGATGTGATCTTGATCTAACCCACATATATTCTGAAGAGTAGGATGTGATCTTGAACTAACCCACATATATTCTCACGAGCAATATGTGATCTTGATCTAACCCACATATATTCTGAAGAGTAAGATGTGATCTTGATCTAACCCACATATATTCTGAAGAGTAGGATGTGATCTTGAACTAACCCACATATATTCTCACGAGCAATATGTGATCTTGATCTAACCCACATATATTCTGAAGAGTAAGATGTGATCTTGATCTAACCCACATATATTCTGAAGAGTAGGATGTGATCTTGAACTAACCCACATATATTCTCACGAGCAATATGTGATCTTGATCTAACCCACATATATTCTCACGAGCAATATGTGATCTTGAACTAACCCACATATATTCTGAAGAGTAAGATGTGATCTTGATCTAACCCACATATATTCTGAAGAGTAGGATGTGATCTTGAACTAACCCACATATATTCTCACGAGCAATATGTGATCTTGATCTAACCCACATATATTCTGAAGAGTAAGATGTGATCTTGATCTAACCCACATATATTCTGAAGAGTAGGATGTGATCTTGAACTAACCCACATATATTCTCACGAGCAATATGTGATCTTGATCTAATCCAGTTACGATTTGATCGTCCACTACACCAGAGATATTTTCTCTTTCGTCCCCAGAGATAGCATCATCTTCGCCGTCGTGAACTCCATGACAAGTTTCCTGGCCGGGTTTGTCATTTTCTCCGTGCTGGGGTTCATGGCTCACCGACAGAACGTCTCCGTGCAGGATGTGGCAGAGTCCGGTAAGTCAAAGGTCGATTCTCGATATCAGATATCTGCAGTTGAATCTGTGTGTGTGTTTTTTAAAAGAGAAAAACTATTCTGTTATGTCTTCACAATGAAGGTTGACTACAGTGTGCCACTGTCGTCTTTGAGAAATATGACTTGCTAAGGCCTCAATCTCTTTCACGGTGCGACTCTCGTACCTCTGTCCAATAATACTACAAATATGGTTTTTTTTAAACGAACCCTGGTACTCAAGGATCATGACATTGTTAAACCCTTGTGCTAACCTCTAAGCAATGGAGTCAAATATATGTGCCGGGAACAGGAAGATGGGGAAACAGAAGCTTTGCTAGAAGAACAGATCAATGAAAATTTACACCCAGGCAATATGATTATGGACACAGGTGGGTCTGTAGTTGTGGAGGGGGGTTGGTGGTTTAAATTTTTTTTAAGTCGATGGAATCGTATTGCAATTGAGATTAAATGTTGTTCCAAACAAAAATTTAACTAGGAGTGAGCACGGGTGCGGACAGTCTTTAGCCCGCAGGGGAACTAACAGTCAAAGTTTCTAATCAGGTTGCATCCGCCATTGTCACTGCATGAACTCATCGTTGGCTGTTGAAGAAGGAGACAAAGCGTGAATGGGAATTTTCAGAGTCCAGTGAAAAGAGGTCTTGATTCATTGATTGATTTATTCAAATGTATTTAGCTTTAAAAAACTGACTGGCAAAGGCTGCGCCAGAAGTGGTTCCCTTATCTTTCACACCTGATTTAATCTGACAGATGTGGTCCACTCAACTGTCTCTGAGCAACTGTGCAGATCAATGACAGGCTTGTGAACTCTTCATTGTTATTTGTTTTAAATCTTGGAACCGTCACTGCCTGGCATTTTGCAAGCTATCTGCAACACTTTAATTGGCATACACAGACACATTTATTTCTATGTTCGTCCTCTTCTTGGTACCTTTGTTGGGGTCAGCATATACTTTCTCATGTCTTGTCACGAATCTGCTTATCCGCATGATACGAAACCTGTGGCTTGTTTAGGTTTTTATAGGTTAGTTGCGTATCCTTTACAGGGCGTTGCAGAACCAACCCCAACAGCCCCTGGCTGTTGTGTGGTTTTTCTAGGCAAATTTACGTCCAGTAGTTTACTATTGCTTTCTGGACGGTCGGCTTTCTTGATGCCACTGTCGAAACCAACGAACGGCGCATACCCGGCAGCTGGGATCGAACCCGGCATCCCGGCATTACGAAACGTTCGCATCGCCTTAGCCACAGAGCCGACCTTGTTTAGGTAAGAAAACATAAATAAATCAGTGAAGATTTTTCCGAACAAATTACCTAACCAGGTAAAATGAAAAACACAAAGTCAATCATTTAGGGTTTCCAAGTAAATCCCTGTTTGGATATGAAGTGTACCGGTGGAAGGAAGGTGTCAGTTTCAGTACGCGTGGATTTAAACCGTATAAATTGATTGGGAACTCTGGAGGCCATAGAAAAAACATGACAGACAACTGACATGCACTGCGTTAACTCGTAGAAAGAACTGTGTTAAGGAACCTTTTCCACTCCTTCGGGCGCACTAGGTAAATAGGGCTCAATCTATATTTTATATACCAATTCTCACTCATTTGGTGATGGGGTCAACTTCACGCCGGCTGCCTTTACTTCCCAGGACTGTTCCTGTATCAATTTAATGTAAGGCTGGATCGATCTGTGATCCAGGGTCATTTCTAAAAGAAAGAAAAAGGTCAGAATAAAGTAGAGATCAAAAACACACTAGACACCATACAAATAGAACGCTATACCTTCCAGCCTAATAGACTACAAAAGTTGGGGCGCATATAGATTATGGCAGACAAGAGAGAGAGAGAGAGAGAGAGAGAGAGAGAGAGAGAGAGAGAGAGAGAGAGAGAGAGAGAGAGAGAGATCTGCGTAGACAAAAGTAAATTTGAATGGGGGTAGACAACATTGCAGACCAAGAAGTTTGTGGCGAGATAATATACAGGCAGACATACACACTTGCAGTAACCACCTGAAGACATACACACTTGCAGTAACCACCTGGCAGAAAGGGTGGATCACAGCGATTTGTGGATGAGGCAAATATTGGCAACAATGAACCTGGAGGGCTCAGAATGCTCCAAAAGACAAAGACGACTAGTTACCATGGCAGGACTCGTGTCAAGTTTTTATAATTCATGAAGATATTCTCCTTTTACCACACAGGACCAGGATTAGCATTCATAGCCTACCCCGAGGCTGTGGCTCAGATGCCGGTTGCTCCGCTGTGGTCAGCTCTCTTCTTCATCATGATCATACTACTGGGTATGGACAGTCAGGTAATACTGTCTTCTCGTGGACAGTCAGGTAAAACTGACTCGTCCTCTTTGACAACATGGTATTTGTCCTGTTGAGTCGACCCCTCGTCTTGCGCCAACCAGGTCGTCAGATGTTGTCTCTATCTCATTCTACAGGAGCAACTTGTTACATGGTGTCAACTCTTTCTATCGTAGCGTGTTCCTTTTCTGCCCGTTATCTCTAAGTTGAGCATAGGCATTAGTAAACTCATACCAAGTCTTTTATTCTTCGCTATTTCTTTCAGTTCATCCCATGTCCTTCCAATTTTTAACTTTACTCTCTGCTCCCTTATCCTTGTGTGTGTGTGTGTGCGTGCGTGCGTGCGTGCGCGCGCGCGCGAGCGTGCGTGCAAGCGTGCGTGCGTGTGTGCCTTTTTTTTGCATCCCTTGTTGCACTGGAACTTCGTGTGTTACCTGGGCCTTACGGAAAGCAAAGATTATTAACACTGCACCCTACTAGGCATGTCTTAAGAGGCTACAAGGGGTCTGGTTGGACTTGGGTATAGCTACAGCATCCAGTAAAAATAACACTACAAAACCAACCAATCATGAAAATGTAGCTAGCTTGTCATAAACCTGTTTGCATGTTTTAATAATGTGCCAAATATCTAAGTATTTTAAAGCCAAATATAACCCTATAGCCACACAGTGCTGTGCTTGTATCACAGGCGAGAGACGACCAATGATGATGAGTTGCTGGCTGCAAAGTCTGTTTAGATGTGCTTTTTTTTCTGCCATATTTTATTGTTTTATTTCCAGTTTGTAGGAGTTGAGGGGTTTATCACCGCTTGTGTGGACTTGTACCCTCACGTTCTACGTAGAAATCACAGAAAGGAGATCTTTGTGGCTGTCGTCTGCGTTGTTTGCTACCTTATAGGATTGTCAATGGTGACTGAAGTAAGGTAGCACCTAGTAGCATTATCAACATTACATTAGTTATTGTTTGCTGTAACTGATATACTGTCAATGGTGACTGAAGTAAGGTAGCACCTAGTAGCATTATCAACATTACATTAGTTATTGTTTGCTGTAACTGATATACTGTCAATGGTGACTGAAGTAAGGTAGCACCTAGTAGCATTATCAACATTACATTAGTTATTGTTTGCTGTAGCTGATATACTGTCAATGGTGACTGAAGTAAGGTAGCACCTAGTAGCATTATCAACATTACATTAGTTATTGTTTGCTGTAACTGATATACTGTCAATGGTGACTGAAGTAAGGTAGCATCTAGTAGCATTATCAACATTGCATTAGTTATTGTTTGCTGTAACTGAAAATAATGTAGTAATTATCATCAATATTACAAATTTCAATGTCCATGATGGCTGGGGTAATGTAGGACGTTCCGGCGCTGAGGTTCAACAGCTGACAGAGTAAAACCCTAGATCAGGAAATGTGATTATAGACATTGATGGGTCAGTTGCCAGGGGGGAAATGAGTTTTTGCGACTTCACTGCAATAATATGGGAAATAAGGGCGACTGATGAGAGTCGGGCATATGACACTACCACATCCAGCTTGAGAATGGAGGTTGAGGCAGTAACTGCGGCGTTTTGATGGGTGGAGAAAGTCTCAGCCACACATGTTGTCATACTGTCCGATTGGCAAAACATGCTCAGGAGGCTGGAGGCAGGTTTTCCTCGTATGGAATGGGCCGCATCAGTCCAAAGGTGGCAGATAACGAGAGTCCCCTGGATATTTTGTCCGGTCATTCATCACGTTTGGGGATGAGCAGACAGATAGGTGGGCTGGACTGGGGCCACTTGGGGGTGTACTACACCTGCACAAGGCAGAGCTAATCTCTTCCCTGTGGGAACAAGTAAAATGGAAGATACTTAAAAACCCCCACCAAGGGAGAATGTTGCTAGTGGACGGTTCTATGGACTCTGGGCGCTCCTCGAGGCCTCGGTTGGAAGGAGAGGGAATGCAAGACGAATATTTAACCAGATGACAACGGGAACGGTTAGTATTTAGACTCTTCGCTTGCTGTTGAGAAGAAAGACGAAAATAATACGGGATTGTCCTCAATTATTTGATGTAGAATCTTTACCCATGTGAGCCTAAATGAGGTAACGTAGCATCTAGTATCAACATTACATGGCTCATAGTTCATGCTGACTCAGGAAATGTAGCCAGAAGTAATAGTGGCAATACGAAAGGCTTTAGAATATAACAGTAACTGCATGTATATATCTATACTATAAAACGAAAAATCCATCTTTCTGTCACAAAAACTATGACGGTCAAAGTAGCGACGTGACATTTGCACATGTCATTCTTCCTGCTATTTCTAGGCTTACTATTTTCAGCACGTATTTTACATCATGCACACCAACGCAACAATCACTAACCACTTACATTCACTGTTTTTTCCTTTGAGTATATATATACATTTATATCATTCAGGCCTCTTAAAAAATGACTTTGAAAAAAAAAACTATATTTCCCTGCTGTCTCCCTTCATATTTGACCTTTGGACAGTAACTCTTATTTTTGCTTAGCAGTGACAGCCACGACAAGGTAGTGGCTTGACCAGTGTTTCCAAAAGTGGGTGCCACCGCCCCTAGGAGAGGCTGGGGCGATCGAGGGGTGGTAGCTTTGTAGGTCAAATTGGGAGGGAGGCCGTGAAACGGTCCAGGGAGCGGTAGAAGCATCGAGTGTAGTTTGGGGCAACTAATAAACGAAAAGGCAACAATTTAGATCGAACACAGTACAATACAATATTCACTGACTTTCCCGGGCGAAGAAAAGCTATTAAGACACAGTTTTCCGTTACTTTAAATCCTCGAACCGGCTGTAGTCAGGGACCCTAATATAATATAACGGTTAGATTGGGTTCCGGGACTTGTGCCCGGCTGATCCTCATCCGAATGGTGGCACTTTGTGTCAACGAGTGTTGGTCGATCGTTTTAAGGTCTTGGTGCGGTTGAATCACAATCATACATCCCATGTCTTCATGGGAATTCAACACATGGTCACCAGTTCGTGAGTTGTGGGTGATATCTACTGCAAAAGCTGATATCACTAACACCTATAGATAAGACACATGTATACTTTGAGTTAGGCAGTGATAGAGATCTCTGGTCTTGAATCTCCTCCAGGGCGGCATGTATGTGTTCCAGCTGTTCGACTACTACTCGGCCAGCAGGATCGTCCTGGTTGTTGCAGCCGTTGAGAGCCTGGTAATTGCCCACGTCTATGGTAGGGGCCGGTGTTTCATTTAACAACGGATGTTTGTTCTCAGTCTCTCGTTTTCTCTCTCTCTCTCTCTCTCTCTCTCTCTCTCTCTCTCTCTCTCTCTCTCTCTCTCTCTCTCTCTCTCTTCTCTAGTTCTCTCGTTTTCTCTCTCTCATCTCTCGTTCTCTCGTGTACTTACTGCACTCTCATTAGCTCTGTTTGGTGCTCTCCTGTCTTATTATCATTAAATCTTTCTCTCTCGCTTTATCTCTATCCCTCTCTCTATATCTCTTTTCTTTTCTCGTTCTCTCTATTTGGTTATCTATGGGTTTCGGTACCTCTATCCTTCTCCTTCTCTCTCACACGCTCTCTCACACTCACACTCTCTCCTTTCTCTCTCACTAACTCTCTCTCTCTCTCACTCAATCTCTGACAATCACACTCATTCACTCTCACTCACTCTTACTCACTACTCTCTCACACTCTATCCTTTCTTTCTTAATCTCTCTCACTCACTCTCTCACTCTCACTCACTCACTAACTCTCACTAACTCTCTATCCCTCTCACTCATTCGTTCACTTTTACTTTTACTTTTTACTCTCTCTCTCTCTCTCTCTCTCTCTCTCTCTCTCTCTCTTCTCTCTCTCTCTTCTCTCTCTCTCGCTCTCTCTCTCTCTCTCTCTCTCTCTCTCTCTCTCTCTTACTCGCTCACTCTCACCAAAGTAACACCAGAGTAGAGTTGTGGTATTATGCTTTCAGCTCATGAATATTTGAGGGGGAAGGTCGAGAATTGTGAAACGTGCTCACTAATATCTGATAATTAGAACTGTATATAATTTTTACTTGTACACTTAACATTTTGTTTTTTTCTTTTCCAGGCGTCAGTCGATTCTGTGATAATTTGGTCATCATGTTCGGATTCACAAATGTGGTCAGTGTGAAGGTGTTTAGATGGGCCGCTACCGCCTGCTGGTCATTCCTAACTCCAGCGTTCACACTGGTAAAAGAAATAGATTGTTTTATGTTTATCAAGATAGGTCATTTGTGTTTTTAAATAGTGGCTGTGATAGCAATATCTAACTGAGCAAATAGTTGCCCCAAGCTCAAGTCAAATGGTGAAAGATGGATCAGGAAAAAAAAAGACCTTTATGGTCGGGAAAGAATGATACAGCAGAGGGACTGCGGAATCTGGTGGACACTCAACCCTCAGAGGAAAGAATGATACAGTAGAGGGACTGTGGAATCTGGCAGACACTCAACTCTTCAGAAGAAAGAATGATGCAGCAGAGAGACTGCAGAATCTGGCGGACACTCAACTCTTCAGAGGAAAGAATAATACAGCAGAGAGACTACAGAATCTGGCAGACACTCAACTCTTCAGAGGAAAGAATAATACAGCAGAGAGACTGCGGAATCTGGCAGACACTCAACTCTTCAGAGGAAAGAATAACACAGCAGAGGGACTGCGGAATCTGGCAGACACTCAACTCTTCAGAGGAAAGAATAATACAGCGGGGAGACCGCGGGATCTGGCCGACACTCAACTCTCAGAGGAAAGAATGATACAGTAGAGAGACTGCGGGATCTGGCAGACACTCAACTCTTCAGAGGAAAGAATGATACAGCCGGGAGGCCACGGAATCTGGCCGACACCTGACCCTCAGAGGAAAGAATGATACAGCAGAGAGACTGCGGGATCTGGCAGACACTCTTTTTAATAGGAAAGAATGATACAGCAGAGAGACTGCGGGATCTGGCAGACACTCAACTCTTCAGAGGAAAGAATGATACAGCGGGGATTCCGCGGGATCTGACCGACACCTGACCCTCAGAGGAAAGGCAATACTGCCCTACAGTCAGACTTCGACTGGTACTATCAGAACTGCAACTCTGCGGAGCTAAATTGGTAGTGTCCCGAATGCTGTGATGTTGATTTCTGGGTAATCAATCAAAGGGTCACCCCATATTTGCTCCGTTCCTGTGCCCAAAAAATCCACATGGAATTACCATTACTGTCCATTGTGGAGAAATTTGACACAGACGACAGTCTTAGCATAGTCAGTAGCATACACAAGTGGTATATGCATAAGGCATCCGTCAGAAATACCAACTCAAACAGTCTGTCAGTCGATTCTTAACTGAAATGTTGACAGATGTAGGGCACATTTCCATGTTTAGTGTTGGGTGGTTGCTGTTTGTGAATTATTATTACTGCAAGGAGTAACCTGCAATTTTTTGTGTTGGTCGTGAGTCGAGGTTCTAACATCAATGCAGGCTCGTAATTCCGTAACTGCTTGGCTCCCGTGCCAGTAGAATTCGAACAAAATGTCCTTAGCTGTCCAATTTTTTAAAACAACCAGTGAAAAAACTGGCAGGTCCCAGCAAAATCTGGACGTTTGCATACGCAAATTAAAGTTACATAAAGCAGCTGCCAGTTGTGCCTACACTAACGATCACATACCAGAACAGCAGGTCACTTTTAGCACAAAATGTCATTTTTAAGTCTTCTGTGTGTGGGTTCCAAGAGAACGCCTCAGAAGAACGTGAATGGTAGAGGGCAAAGATGCTGGACTAGATTCCTTTCAGGGTAGATGGCACAGGATGAAACGGAATGGAGTCCTAGCCTGCGAGCCCTATGTGCTCTGTAGAACACAGCAGGATAATGATGATGGGGGCAAGTCGGGGGTGAGAATTTCTTGTACAACAAAACAGAACTACTGTAGTCATGATGAATAACATATCCGTTATATAACTGTGAAACTGTTAATGTTATGGACGATATAACAGAACTACGACAGTCATAATGAATAACATATCCGTTATATAACTGTGAAACTGTTAATGTTATGGACGATATAACAAAACCACGACAGTCATGATAAATAACATATCCGTTACATAACTGTAAAACTGTTAATGTTATGGACGATATAACAGAACCACGACAGTCATGATAAATAACATATCCGTTATATAACTGTAAAACTGTTAATGTTATGGACGATATAACAGAACTACGACAGTCATGATAAATAACATATCCGTTATACAATTGTTCAACTAAAGTTAAGCTGTGTGACGGGGACTTAAAAGCCCAGTACGGGCAAATACGATGCATCGAAAAAAATTATTCGCTTTTCAGTTGGATTTATTCGATTTCTGGGGCTTCATTTTATGTTGGTGTAACTCTGTAGTAACGTACTTAAGGAGATACAGCGAAATCTGCCTGGCCATAAATAGTACAACGTATTGTTTGTGACAGCGTTATTTAAATTGTTGTCAAACTGTCAAAGTTATTTACGATTTTGTTCTGGCATGCAGGCTATTTTTATCCTGGGCTGCGTCAACTACTCGGAACTGACCTACAAAAGAAAGTTTGTCCTGTACGAGTACCCTCCCTGGGCCATCGGGATTGGCTGGATGCTGGCTCTGATCAGCGTGTCTCTCATTCCAATATTTATGATACAGAGAATGATTATCACCCCCGGCAGTTTCAAACAGGTCAGTAATTTGTGTTGATCAGTTGCTTGCCCCATGTCATGTAAGTCAGTGTTCTTCAAACCGTAAGACGCGGGTCACTGGTGGGCTGCGGTAAAGTCATTGTAAGCTACTGTACAAATTCTGTTTAATCAGGTCACGAGGTAGAGTGACTGATTCCCCCCCCCTCTCTCTCTCTCTCTCTCTCTCTCTCTCTCTCTCTCTCTCTCTCTCTCTCTCTCTCTCTCTCTCTCTCTCTCTCTCTCTCTCCCTCTCTCTCTCTCTCTCTCTCTCTCTCTGTCTTGCAGTCTGTAGGATTAATGTCTTAAGGACTTTCAATTTGTTTGACATGACATGACTTTCTCAAGAATATCGATACTAAAAAGCAAACAGAGGAATCGAATGGATGTTACAGTCGCTCTTCGCATATCATAAAGCACGCTCCAGACACACATACATCGCATCTTTAAACCTCCAAGCAGTAGCAGATTTCGCATTAGGTAAATATTGGAGTTTATGTGACATCGGATTGAACTGTCACAACTGTGTGTATGTACCATATTTTAGGGTTGCGTAGACAGGGGATGGTGAGCCAGTCGTTTTGGGGGTGCATGTCTAGTGCTGTCGCCACGGACTGTAAGGTTAGGATGTTTATCTTGCCTCTGACAGAAAAACTCCATCACTTTACCAGGAGTCGAACTCGGCTCCCCTGCATGAGAGCCCGACGTTGTAACCGCTCGACCAGCCGCACAACAGCAACAACCAACTTCTATCTACACTTAATTTTGTGTTTGTGTTTGCTTTACTGTAATGTGGGTCCCGAAAACATTTTCCTTGGTTTGGTGGGCCACGCGTGTAAACAGATTGAACAACACTGACGTAAGTTGTCTCTTCACCATCTTTGCAGACGACCGCTTTCTGTCGTGCTATAGGGAAGCTTGTGAATCACCGTACGCGGGGAAACCAGGGGTACATTTCTTCTTCAACAGACGAGTAGCATAAAGCCTATGCTCTATTGAGGAGACAATGTGTTGTCCATGCAGCATGATCCCTTTATCGGCCTGATTTGCAAACTTCAAATAGACGTTTGTAACAAAGCGTGAGGAAGAAGCTGCTGGATCAGAAGAGCAGTGCTGTCTTCGTCTCTTGGAGTTTTTCTTCTAGACAAGCTGTAACCAAAGCCAGGTGCCTGGTATGTCCTGCCTCAACGTTAAGATGGTTCTATTTCCTATGGGTCGCGGCCCTTTTTAGGGTTGAAGGACTTTTTCACAGGGGTCGCCAAAGACCATCGCAAATACATGGAAGTTTTGAAGTAGTGACGAAAATAATGGTACGTTTGGGGGTCGCCACAACATGAGGAACTGTGTTAAAGGGTAGCGGGATTAGGGAGGCTTAGAACCACTCTCCTAGTCCAAAGTTAAGATTAGTATTCTCCTGAGCGCGCTGCTCCGCTCAAGGCGGTTGGTACAAGTGGGATGTCAGATTAGGTGCACACTAAAGTGTTGAATGTAATAAACGCCATTGTGAAACTTAAATGTGAATGCTGGTGGCAAATCAAGCCATTTTATTGGGCCATCTCATGTTATCAAAATATGACTTTTTTTTTTTTTTTTTTATGAAATTTTAGAAGATATAAACATTGAAGACGATTGAATCATAAATACATTTTGGTCGTATACGGCCAAGACAGGATTGATGAAAGAAGATGCACTGCTGGACCAGTAGGAAGTTGCGCGCAAGATATTCACATCCTGCACATGCAGAATTGACGATACTGGGGAACTGGGTGAGGTTTGGGACTCTTTTCATGTGGTTATGGTTTATACATAGGTTGGTTGGTATGTAGGTAGGTAAATATATAGGTAGGTAAGTAGGTAGTCAGGTTGGTAAGTAAGTAGGTAGATAAGTAGGTAGGTGAATATGTAGGTAGGTAGGTAGGTAGGTAGGTGGGTAGGCGAGTAGGTAGGTAGATAAGTAGTTAGGTAGGCAGGTAAATAGGTAGGTAGGTAAGTAGGTAAATATGTAGGTAGGTAGGTATGTGTGTAGATAAGTAGGTAGGTAGGTAAATATGAAGGTATGTGGGTATGTAAGTAGGTAGGTAGATAGGTAGGTAGGTAAAAAAAAGTAGGTAGGTAGGTAAATAGGTAGGTAGGTGAGTAGGTAGGTAGATAGGTATGTAAGTGTGTAGGTAGGTAAGTAGGTAGTAGGTAGGTAGGTAGGTAAATATGTAGGTATGCAAGTAGGTAGGTTAGTTTGTTGGTTATAATTGTGGCTAGGTTTATGTGCGCATATAAAATGGCTTAGCTTTGCTCGCCATCATAAGCCTTAAGAAGGACTAATGCAGTGTTGATGCGATTAAGAGAGAGAGGGACCCAAATACTATCTCAACCGACGAGTGGGTGAAGAAAATATACGAAGAAAATAAACAGTAACGCAAATAATTATTATTTCTTTTCCACAGAGGTTGAAACTGTTAACAACACCTCACTTGCGGCGGCATCAGCTGAGACCAAATGAGGACATGCAGAGGACTGTCCTACAGGAGAATGTGTTCTATTCCTCAGCGGAGGACATCCATTTGAAAACAGACATCGAGTCAAATCTAGAGGATGGAAACAATGTACTTCTGCGTAATTACGAAAATAGCAAGGGGAATAATCCAAGTCTATCAAACACGGAGAATAATTTCATTTGAGTGTGACATGTTGAAAAATTATCATTACATACAGAATCAGGGAGAAAATAATACAATATATGCAAATAAAACTAATGTTCTTACACCTTGTGTTTGTTTTAATTTTAATAAAATTTGGTGAAATATTCGAAGTATTTTGTTTAACCCAGACGTGGATGTTTATTGTCTCCCTTACCTTTTACTCAAAACCTTGAGCGATAATCCCTAATGGCTTTTGCGTTAGAAGTCTGTGTCTCATTAATCCCCGTCCTTTTTAGGATGAAATATTTCGTTATTTGAAACCCTACTCTGGCTTTTGTCAGGGGCCGCAATATAACCCGGCCATAAATATGGTCTAATGGCTGAACGCGGTTTCTGGGTCCTCCCCACGTTGATCCTCATCCACATGGTGGCGCTTTGTGTCATCGGGTGTTTATCGCTTGTGTGATGTCCTAGTGGGGTAGAAAGTGAGTCAGTCAGTCGTTAGAAGTCGCCCACATTGTTCTATAATTCACTTCGTAACCCGAAACCGCCATGGTGTAGCGGCTAGAAGCTTGTCTGCGGCTGGGAAGGTCTTGGGTTCGGATCCTACAGAGCCCGGACTTTTAAAAAAAATCCGGGTAATAATTTATGTAGCCATTTAGTTTGTCCTTATCGAGGAAACACCAGGTCGAGTCATACTGTACAGCTAAGGTTACAGTTATGGTGCCCTCAAGTCATACAACTGGACAGAGAAAATTTCAGCATGGTAAATGTTAAAGGTTCCTTGAGTCATACAACCGGACGACGAAAGGTTACCGTGGTAGATGTTAAAGTTATAGTGTCCTTGAGTCATACAAGCGGACGACGAAAGGTTACCGTGGTAGATGTTAAAGTTATGGTGTCCTTGAGTCATACAACTGCACGACGAAAGGTCAGTGGGGTAGATGGAGCACATCCCGTATCTGTGGATAATAGAATGTCAAATACATATATGCGTTACTGTTGTTAACTCTTTCTAGCTTTATTATCAGTCTTTAGATCACAGGAAGCAATCAAGATGTGGCGGCTAGATGTTCGCCTGGGATTCCAAGATCATGAGTTCAAATCACAAAAACACAACAACAACAAAGCCGGACTTTTGCTTCCCTCATAAATGACTTTGACTCCAATGTCGACCCAGCCTTCAATGGATACTAGGTAAAGTCCTTAGAAGTACAGGCGTGATGCTGACTTCATCACTCAACGATTGCTGATTGGTCCATAAAAATATGCGTCTACCCCTGTTTGCCCAATATACCTGCAGGCTTGAAAAAGGGTCAATTACTGTACAGATCATGGTCACTTTACCCTATCTGGAGACATCATGAGTACAGGACATACTCAATGTGTTGCCTTCTAGAGACGTTGAGACGATGGAGTCAGGACAGACACACTCAATGTGCTGTCTTCTAGAGACGTTGAGATGATGGAGTCAGGACAGACACACTCAATGTGCTGTCTTCTAGAGACGTTGAGATGATGAAGTCAGGACAGACACACTCAATGTGCTGTCTTCTAGAGACGTTGAGATGATGAAGTCAGGACAGACACACTCAATGTGCTGTCTTCTAGAGACGTTAAGATGATGAAGTCAGGACAGACACACTCAATGTGCTGTCTTCTAGAGACGTTGAGATGATGAAGTCAGGACAGACACACTCAATGTGCTGTCTTCTAGAGACGTTGAGATGAAGGGGTTAGGAACGATGAACGAGCTGTTGGAAATGGGAATTAAACAAGGACAAGCATGCAGGAACCTGTTGTGGGACAAAGGAAGAAGATATGCTAATCAACTCCTGCTGTGAACGTCAAGCATGGAGACATGTAGATGGCTGCTGCATCAGAAGACTGAGCACGCATGGGTGGGAACGATGTGCTAGGATGTCAACACGGATAACAATCAACACGTAATATACTGATTGTATGGTGACGTACCTGTGTCTGCACAGATATGCCGGCTAAAGATTCTTCTTCTGCTGCCTTTCTAACCCCCAGTGGAGCATAGGCCCTCAACCAACTCACGCCAAGTCGTTCTATCTTTTGCTATCGCATGCAGCTCTCCCTATGCCATTCCCATCTTTTAAACTTCGCTATCTAGCTCCCTATTCCAATTTGTGTTGGTCTTCTTTTATTTATGTGTCCCTGTGGGTTCCAGTGCAAAGACACTTTAGTTAAATTGTTCTCAGATTGTATCAACGTGTGTCCTTTCCAATGCCAGCGTCTTTTCTTCACCTCTTGGTCCACTGGAACTTATTAAGTTCTCTCCCAAAGCTCTACATTAGTGATTCTATCATACCATTTAATTCCCTCTATACTGCACAGGTACCAGTTAATGAATGTTTGTAGTTGATTTCGATTACACATTTTACCCTTTTTGCCGCCTACAGTATTTCGTGGGCCAGTTTATGGACCTCATACCTTGTCGTTGTTTTTTCATGTCCGTCATCAGAAGGAATGGAACTTGTAGCCAGCAGGCTGGCAGGCAGGAGGCTAATCAGTGAACTAGCGACCAGTTACAAAAGGTCAGTGGTCGGAAAACTCACTAGTCAAAAGAGCCAAAATTCAACAGCAAGGCAATTTAAAAAATTTGTTGAGAGCCAAATTTCTTTTTAAGAACCTCTCAAAAACTATTGGGGGATCCCCGTGGCCGAGCGGCTAGACACTCGCCGCGGATCGGAAGGTCGTGGGTTCGCTCCCTGTCGGAGCCGGGCTATTTCCAAAAAATGACCTTGGCTCCCAGGTCGACCAAGCCTTGAGTACGTACTGGGTGCAGTCCCGGGAAGTAGAGGCGGCCGGCGTGACTCTGACCACATCACCCATCTTGTGCCGATTGGTCTATAGAAATATAGGTCTAGCCCTATATGCCCTATACGCCTTAAGGAGTGGAAAAGGATCCTTCACTTTACTTACTTTTTTTTTTTTTTTACAAAAACAATTTTTTTTTCGGAGTCAAAACCGATTTGTAGTCGATTGGCCGAGTCGCCCTCAGGTCGCTAAACAGCCGCATGCGGTCCGCGAGCCACGATTTGCCGACCACTGTAAGAGGTTAATATGATATTTTTTTTAGCTGGGTTGATTTGATATCATAGTCATCAAGTGTCTTGTCAACTGGCATTGGCGATCATGCCTCTCAACAGTCGGGGATCTTTAACGGTATGTATCACAGTTTTTGTGTTGACCGTCTCTGTGCAATGCCAACAGGCTGTTAAAACTCTGTTCGAGCTGCCTTCCTCTGTCACTTTCCAGTGGTCCAAACATGTCCCAGGTTCCTTCTTCTCGTAACATGTCAAAAAAAGAATGATAACTGTCTCTTTCTTATCTTTGTAAAAAGTTGTCTTTGAGCCCCACCTTTTTCAAAAAATCTGGGTTGCTCTTGGCTGTCCAAGGAATTCTGAGAATTTGTTTGTATAACCACAACTATGAGGACTCAAGAAGTTGTTTGGCTTCTTCATTATTCTGATAAAATAGAACTTCGTATACAGTATTTTTTTTAACACTTAGGCTTTTGTGAAACGGGAGCAAACGTTCGAAAGTGGCATACTTTGCTTCTGTGTGTCTGCATGTCTGTCCGTCTCCCTGACGGTTTGTCTGTCTGTCTGCCTCTCTGTATGTCTGCTTGTCTGTAATGATGCAATACACATGGTGTGAAGGATATTGACGAGGTACAACACAAATGAAGTGAAGTACAATGAGGTGGTACAAAACGAGCCATGATTTACCGGACTTACATGTTGTAGATAGACCGCCGTGACAACATACAGAACCCCGGCAGCCAACAACAGTAGGTAGTGGATGTAGCTCAGAAACTCCTGCAGTTGTAAGCAAACACTTTCATCTTGTTCACTTTGTACTATCTTATTTTACAGATGTAAGCAAACACTTATATTCTGTTTACATTGTACTATCTTCTTTTACAGATCTAAGCAAACACTTTCATTTTGTTTACTTTGTACAGTATAATTTTACAGATGTAAGCAAGTACTTTCATTTTGTTCACTTTGTGTTATCTTATTTTACAGATGTTAAAAAAACGCTATTATCTAGTTTGTTGTGTATTATCTTATTTTACAGATTTAAGCAAAACAGTATTATCTGGTTCACTTTAGGTTGTCTGACATAACTGATATTAGCAAACACTGTTACAGTGCAGACCGCTTAAGGCGAACTCACATATATGGAGTTTCTGTTGTAAAGAACCTTTTTTTTTTATCCCCGGCAATTTTGGTTTGTTGTTGTTTGAATTCTTATTCGGATAGAGGAATTTCTGTTAAGAAGCATTTTTTTTTTTTTTAGTTCCTGGTAAAATGTTCTTATTACCTCAGCACTGTATCTTGTTAACTGTATGGTAATTTATTTTACAGATACCGGCAAACATTTCTATAGTAGAACTGTCAGCTTCAATCAATAAGCAGAAATGCATAATCGGAAACAGAAAGCAAACTGGACGTCATTGCCACCATATCAGAGGTCGATCAATGGGTGAAGGTAACATGGTGAATTTCATTGGTGAAGCCGTCACTCAATCTAAATTAGAGGTCAATCAGCGGCTGGAGGCGACAAGTTGACTTTCCTTGGAGAGACCAGCACTGCCTCTTTAACAGAGGTCTTCCAGTGGATGTACGATGTAATGAACTTCCTTGGAGATGCCTGCGGTACCACAATATCTGAGGTCCGTCAATGGGTTTGAGCAACATGATGAATCTCATCGGAGAAGCCGCCACTGCCACTATATCAGTGGTCAGTTTTTGTGTAGAAGCAATATGATGAATCTCCTTAAGGAAGCCAACACTACCACTGTATCAGAGGCCTTTCAATAGGTGGACAACATAATGAGCTCCCTTGGAGAACCCGGCTCTGCCACTATATCAGAATTCTTGTAATAGGTGGACAACATAATGAGCTCCCTTGGAGAACCCGGCTCTGCCACTATAACAGAGGTCTCTAAATGGGTTTTGGGCAAATCGTGAACCTTCCCGAGGTTATTTAGTGGGTGGACACAATGGCTAGACTCCTTGTAGAGACCGGTCCTACCACTGTAATAGTGGTCAATCAAGGGTGGACAACATCCACTGACCTAGAGATTAATCATTAGAGGGACGCCACCATGAACAACTTTAGGGGGGGGGACACACAGGTGGGGGGAGGACACGGGGGGGGGGCAAGGCTGAAACTAGTACTTTTAACTGAATAAATACACTTTAATAGTACGAAATAAAACGTTCCAATTGCAGTTTGAGGTCGCGAAGAAGGAACAACACACGCAGTGGCAAGTCGATTCATTAAGTCAACAATGCATGGGTACAGTTAGTAATTGTAAGGTTGTAGATTTAGTGCAAAGGAGATCGAAGCACCCACAGACATATCCGGAGTGCAATGATGATAACATGAACTGAAAACTCCTAGTCCCTATATGTAGGAAACCCTAATACCCGCTCAAATTATCGGCAGGGTGCCCCCGTGGTTTAGCGGCTAGACTCTGGAAGGTTGTAGATTCAGGTCCTAACGGACCAGACCTTTCTCCCAAAAAAATGACCTTGGCCCCCAGGTCGACCCAGTCTTAAATTGGCACTAGGTACAGTCATGAGAAGTAAAGGTGGCCAGCATGATGTTGACCACATCACTACTGAGTGATGATTGGTCTATGAAATAAAGGTGTAGCCCTATATGCCCAGTACAGCCTTAAGAAGTAAAAAGGGGTTCTTTAATTATTTGTGTACATTTATCTGTAGAATTCTTGACTGACTTACTGTCGATAATAATAAGGATTGTTTTTATTATTATTTTTTTTTTATTATTATTATATTTTTTAATGATGTTTGTGGTGGTTAAGTGGTGCTGGTATGGTCGCTGATAGAGATGATTATGGTCGAGGCAGTGTTGATGATGATGATTATGATGATAAAGGATGAGCACACCTCATTCTAATGGCAATACCTGAAACCCATCTACCTGTCATTCATCAATACCTGACACCCATCTATCTGTCATTCATACAGAGATTCCATGCCCAGAACATACCAGAACTTTGTCCATGTAGATGGCCAGCAGGACATAGTTGAGAACCGACTGCCCGCCAAAGAGCCGCCACAGGTAGAATATGACCACAGTTTTGGCTGAGTGGCAGATCTTCCGCTGAAGGTTCTGATCGGAAACATGGTCGCAGAAGAAAAATATGATGTCAATATTATATGTTTGCGATTATGGGCGATATCGAGTATTGTAGATACAAAAAAAAAAATGAAAAAGATGGGCCTAATAATAAATTGAGGTGATGATAGTGTAGATCAGTGTTTCTCAAATTTAAAAAATATAGATAGCAGTTTATTTGTTAAATCCAGTTTAACAAATTTACAGTCCTAATAGACGTCTGCTGCTGCTGCTTAGATGTAAGAATATCTTATACACATGACTAGAGCGTTGTTGTTGATTTACGACGCACTGCAGTAACAGCCAATCGATCTCTCTGTTTGGTTTATGTTACTTACATGGCTGAGAAAGTCTTTTTACACAAATATTTACAGCAATAACAACAAAATACCCACAAGCTGATAGCTTTTTATATCAAAGATATGTATTCTTTTCTTTGGAAAGGAATTATCGACTGTCCACCTCGATTGCTCCACGGCCATGTGTTAAAGAATATAGCATCAAAGTTGAGCCTTAGATTACATGGTTTGGTCATTTGATGGGAATGCCGTTTTACCAGAGCGCAACCTTTGAGAAATATAATAGAAATGTAGACACACCGACAAACTTACATACAGATTAACAACCCTCACAGGCACATTGACATCAGAAAAACCAAGACAGACAAAAATACGCATGCAAATGAATTTGAAACAAAAATGACAAAAAGGGAACTCTAAATGTGACTGCTATTGCGGTAAATACTCTAAGATGTGAAATCACTTACCGCCAACTCATCATTCTTGATCTCTACCTGCAACACCTGCGTAAACTCCTCCACGGCGACGTCCCAACACTTTCCCGCCACTGCCAGGCACACACCAAACGTCAAAGATTTCCATACAATGACCTTTAAACTGTAGAGCGCTTTATTTCTTTCAAGGCCGTTGGATGTTGGACCAATCGCCACCTCACCGCTTCCTGCTTCTGCTCGAGCAGATACACTGAGAGGAAGGTGAGACTTTTCTGGTCCAGATGTTTTCAAGAGGTAGAAGAAAATACCAAAACAGAGGAATATTCCGCCAAGCGTGTCGAACAGAGAGTCGACGGCGTAGCCGAAGGTGGAGTGGTCGGAGTGGTACTGAAGATGCAGCCCGTCCTGAGCTCTGTGGACAGTGCCATCGAGGGCATCAACCCAGGTTCGATACTCGTACAGTATGACCCCAATCCTTCGATCCTGGAGGTTTTCTGAAGCAATAAACTTACAGGCAACAAATCCGATTATGAGGTGCCCGACTGATATCATGTTTGGTGTGATAAAACTAAACACTGAGCTAAACTTCGTGATGAAGTTAAAGTATTCGGTACTTGGGGCAATTATGAACTGGCTTGGATGGTCGTTCAGCAGTGCTTTGATGGACAGATGCGTTATCGGTGTGTAGATCTCTTCTAGCTTTCCACCTTTGGAGTCAGTCACAAGATTGGTACTTTTGAAACTAGTAAACAATAAAACATCCATGACAAGAAAATAGGTCAGCATAATGCCAGCAAAAATCCGCCATCCAGATTTGCTGCAAGTGCAGATGTATCGGTTTTCGCACAGCAGACGGCGCGGCCAAGATGGCGGTGGCGTCCAGTAGGCGGTCCACCGAGGCCACGGCCACCGCTGACAGGTCATCATGTCGATTCTAAAAGAAGAATATATGTCTAATAAATGTAAAGTAAAAAAGGTAAAGTCGAGAGGAACGACTTCATTGTTTTATCCCATATGGCTTGGTCTCTCTTCGTTGAACAGGTAGCCGTCTGCTGCGGGCATCGCAACAGAGCACGAACTCTCTAGCTCTGACGACAATCCCCAGTGATCTCTGTAGAAACTGCACTCGTGGACTGAACTACACAGCCTTGAAACGAACTCATGACCTTCAGATCGCCAGGCAAACGGCTTGACCACTTCGCCATGGAGAATCCTGCATTTATTTTTTATCAGTAAAGTATCTCATAGCAAGCCCATGTCAAACATGTCAGTTGAGGACCCCCGCCCCCGCCTTTTTTTCTAGGTCCACTGGGTAGTCGTGTAAATACTCTCAAATAAGTTAGATTTATTCTGCACTAATTTGTCTCTAATTTGATATATTATATGTCTGTATAGGGCCAATACTTTTTCTTCATGGCCAAAAATGATTACTGTCTCCTTCTGATGTCTGTGAAAAGTTGTCTTCGGTCTCCCGCCTCTTTCAAAACCTCTTGGTTGCTCTTTTTGGCTGTCCAAATTATACTGAGCATTCTTCTGTAAAACCACATCTCTGAGGCCTCAAGAAATTGTTTGGCCTGCCTACCGATTGTCCAGGATTCACAGCCATCTGTTAAAACTGGATGTATGTAGCAAGCAAGAATTCACTATAATATATGTTCTTTTCTCGAGGATTTTCCCAAATATGTATAAATCTGGACAATTTGCGCTTTTTTTGGGGGGTGGCGAGGGGGGGGGGGGTAGAGGACCGACAGGACGGTTAGGACACGCTGAAAAAGACAGGACTTTCCCGGGGAAAACAGGAAGTATCGTCACCCTACTCATCTGGCAGTGGATATTTCCTACTCGTTACCCCCGAATACACGATCTCAAACATTGTACTTTGTAAGAACATCTCAAGGCTTCGGGACGGGGGAAAAAACGATGACCGGTTGACCACTGACGCTCTGAAAAGTTTTTTGTTTCAAAATAGGTTTTGCTGATGTTAATTCCCATTCCTAGACTGTAGTCAAAAGGTTCCATCGCCCAGCTACTCAACTGAGTGCAACACTGTGAGCTGTGGATTTCACGTGAACTGGTTTTTTTTTTTTTTCTTGTCGGTGACGTTTTGGGTGGTCGATAACGTTCAAAGTGGTGTGTACTTTTAACTGTTTTTGCCAGCAGTGTGCGGCAGTTCCTGTGTGAGACCGTTAGTGTTGGCACATCTGAACGATGCTTTGTAATTTTTAGTTTGCCAGTTGCACGTTTCAAGTTTTTGTTGAGACTGGCAAGTTGTTTGGTTTTTATTAATTTTTTTTAATGGGACAGTGAAGGAATTTATACAACATTTTAGAACATTATAAATTATAATGCCAAAAACAGACATATTCAACAAAATATGAACATGTGTGCGTGCGTGTGTGTATATTTGTGTCGATTTGTATACTTCTCTGCTACTACTTTACGCTAATTCGCAAATCCCCCCCCCCCCCCCCCCCCCCCCCCCCCCCCCCACCTCCCCCCCCCCCCCCCCCCCCCCCCCCCCCCCCCCCAATTTAACTATACCAGCCGCATACGCAATTGCAGATTGTCTTTATTTAAACGTTATCATTTCCTGGTCAACGTTGACAGATATTTTCCTACCTGTTTTCTGCTGTGTACAAATTGCCATTTGGTCCGAACATCCTATGCTTTTTGTCTTAGCTCACAATCCAACTCTGGACAAAGATGGCACTACCCTATCGATAGGCAGCGAACAATAGTGTTCAGAACATACGCTAAAGTATCCAAATGTTCATAGTTACACTCGCCTGTTGACCTGACTCGTAACTTAATGTTGTCACCGTCTAGATATTTCTAGTGTGTTTGCTTTTCATAGCTACAAGATTTCAAAATCGGAACTTTTGTTTATCAGTTCTGGCGTTTTCAAGCTGTGTTATGTTTAAGGCTTAGAATATGCTGTCCGTTTATCTTGTTACATACTTCCCATAGCTACCTTGGCAACACTGCAGTGTGTCAGCCATCCTCTACCACCTGAAGGTACAATTAGCGTTTTTCTCATCTCAGTCTTGAAACTCAGATGGTGTTTCTTAAAAGTCTCCAGTAAAATTGATATTCCTGTCATAACATTTTGGGAGCCGCTGTGATCGGAAGGACGTGGATTCGGGTCCTGACAGGGGTAAGACTTTTTTTTTTTTTTTAATAACCTTGGCTTCCAGATCGACCCAGTCTTGAGTGGGTACCTGGGAAGTAAAGGCGCCCGATGTGATGCTAATCACATCACCCACCAAGTGCTGATTGGTATATAAAATATAGGTCTAGCCCTATATACCCAATACGCCTAAAGGCGTAGAAAAGGGTCCTTTACTAAACAGCCATAACATCTTGCTCCAGTTATCTTATCCCAGTCTCACATTTGACAATGATCTTCTTTCCTCATCTTTTCGTTCTCCCTGCCAGTAATAGTCAGATGAGAAGGTAAAAGGTGTCTATGAGGTCTGTGGTGCGCTTCTTGTCTCTCGCTGATCAACACAGCTGGGTTTCCATTGGAATGCCAACAGACCAAACTTGGGATCTCTCTAGTACAGTGAATCTTTTCTTTGGTTTTGACCATTTGTGTTTTCTCTCTGCACTCTTTTCATGGCTCCACAAGTCGAGGTAGAGGAAACCCCTGTAACCTGTTTGGGCTCTTTCGAGGTAGAGGTCCTGATACTGCACCTAACTGGCACAGTTCAATAGGCTGAACATCTCATTAATCATTCTTATTTACTGTGCCGTAATTTTCAATTTGAGCTACGGTAGGAAAGATACACGATGTGTCAGATGCATTAGCTATGAAATCTCACAGGGCTGGAGAACTGGCAAGAGCAGGTAGACCTTCATGCGTGCCATGGGGAGAGCGACGTTCTATAAAGGCAAGCTGATTGGTTGATTGAGTTTTCAGGTTCTACCGTGGCACTTTTCTGGTGGAAAATCATCTTAGTTTCAGTTAGAAGACATTATAACCGCCTTTTCGCGGAAATAGCAAGCAAAAGTTCTTTATAGTGGATGCTGCATCTTAAGACTGAGCACGCATAGGAATTGGACACACCCACAAGAACGACTTAATGACATATAATAGAGGAACAGTAGTCGATACGTTAAGTAATACTATTTGGTGTTATAGTTTTTACATGTTGGTTTTTGTTCTCATCATTGCCATCATCATCATTATTATCATTTTACAAGCGAATGTATTTATTAATAAATAGAAATGCGTAAACACAACACTGAACAAGCAAACATCAAGATCATTTATTATTTATTGTTACTGTTCACTATTTATTATAAATACACCACTCGGTTTTTGGCTCTAACACAGAGAGAAGAAGTCTTGCAACATGTTCTCTGTGGCCGTAGCATTATTCTTGAAGCACAAGCTTACCCTACAATGGCAGAAAGTTTATTGTTCAATGAAATATATGTTTACCACACAATGGCAGAAACTTTGTTATTCAATGAAATACATGTTTACCACACAATGGCAGAAACTTTATTGTTCAATGAAATACATGTTTACCACACAATGGCAGAAACTTTATTGTTCAATGAAATACATGTTTACCACACAATGGCAGAAACTTTATTGTTCAATGAAATACATGTTTATCACAAAATGGCAGAAACTTTTCTATTTAAATTCAGTGAAGTAAATGTTTAATACACAATGGCAGAAACTTTATTGTTCAATGAAATACATGTTTATCATAAAATGGCAGAAACTTTTCTATTTAAATTCAGTGAAGTAAATGTTCACCACACAATGGCAGAAACTTTATTGTTCAATGAAACACATGTTTATCACAAAATGGCAGACACTCGACAATTCATTTTAATTGGAACTTATGTTCACCACATGATAGCAGAAACTGTACTATTTAATGGAACAAATATTCACCCCATATTAGCAGAAACTGTACTATTCAATGAAGCATATATTCACCACATGATAGCAGAAATTGTACTATTTAATGGAACAAATATTCACCCCATATTAGCAGAAACTGTACTATTTAATGAAGCATATATTCACCACATGATAGCAGCAATTGTACTATTTAATAGAACAAATATTCACTACATGATAGCAGAAACTGTACTATTTAATAGAACAAATATTCACCACATGATAGCAGAAACTGTACTATTTAATGGAACAAATATTCACCCCATATTAGCAGAAACTGTACTATTTAATGAAGCATATATTCACCACATGATAGCAGAAACTGTACTATTTAATGGAACAAATATTCACCACATATTAGCAGAAACTGTACTATTTAATGAAGCATATATTCACCACATTATAGCAGAAACTGTACTATTTAATGGAACAAATATTCACCCCATATTAGCAGAAACTGTACTATTTAATGAAGCATATATTCACCACATGATAGCAGAAACTTTACTATTCAATGGAACAAATATTCACTACATGATAGCAGAAACTGTACTATTTAATAGAACAAATATTCACCACATGATAGCAGAAACTGTACTATTTAATGGAACAAATTTTCACCACATGATAGCAGAAAATGTACTATTTAATGGAACAAATATTCACTACATGATAGCAGAAACTGTACTATTTAATGGAACAAATATTCACTACATGATAGCAGAAACTGTACTATTTAATGGAACAAATTTTCACCACATGATAGCAGAAAATGTACTATTTAATGGAACAAATATTCACTACATGATAGCAGAAACTGTACTATTTAATGGAACAAATATTCACTACATGATAGCAGAAACTGTACTATTTAATGGAACAAATTTTCACCACATGATAGCAGAAACTGTACTATTTAATGGAACAAATATTCACTACATGATAGTAGAAACTGTACTATTTAATGGAACAAATATTCACTACATGATAGCAGAAACTTTACTATTTAATGG